CTGAAAGGAGCCAAGCTGTCTCTGTACACTTTGCAAACTTTTGTTTGTGAGCAAGATCTCAGGCACTGGGCTTCATTTATTGATATCTAAAATGCTAATTGTTCTTAATTATCACATTCCTATGTACTTTCAGGAGGAAGGAGAGCATCTTGGTTAAACTGATTATATTCAGAGGCGGTTTAATGGGGCTGCCACTGATCAACCCAGGGTCTGCGTATGCTGTCCCCAGCACTTGAAAGCAGCAGTCAAGAAATCAAATGATGATTGCATTTGGGCAAATCTGCTACAAAAGACCTCTTTTAAAGTATTCAAAAGAAAAGATGTTACTTTGAGGGCTAAGGTGAGCCTTACCCAAGCCATGATATTTTCAATAATTTTGCTATTTTTTCATTTTGTATGCAAAAGCTGGACAATGAATAAGGAAGACTTAAGAAGACTTGATGCCTTTGGGTAAGGTGTTGGGGAAGCATATTAAATATACCAGGGACTGTCAGTAAGTAGATCGACAGTAATGGCTCTAAGAAGTAGAGCCAGAATATTACTTAGAAGTGAGGATGGCTAAACTTCATCTCATGTACTGTGGACATGTTGTCAGGAGAGACCAGTCCCTAGAGAAGGACATCATGCTTGGTAAAGTAGAGAATCAATTAAAAAAAAAAGGAAGACCCTCAATGAGATGGATTGACACAGTGTCTGTGTCAATGACCCCAAACATAGCAAGACTGTGAGACTGGAACAAGACTGGGCAGTGTTTAGTTCTGTTGTTCACAGGGTCTTTATGAGTCAGAACTAACTTGATGGCACCTAACAACAGTAACAGAGGTGTGAGGAATTTACAACATAGAGTTTTAAGGACATAATTCAATCTATAACAAATATTAAGCATGGAGTATAAGTTAGAGTCCTTGCTTTTCTCAGTTAACTCCCAAACCCCTGATCTCTAAAGGCTAAATCAATCTCTTTTCCATGATTACCCAGATCATCTCGAAGTTGAATCTAAATAAGCTTGAGGTCCATTTGTGATGTGGATGTTTCCAGGGACAGGAGAGAAGGTTGGAGAGAGAGGGGCATTTGTTTCTGGAAGGAGTTTACATATGCACCATCAAGTCAGACTGGTCAGTAGTGGGGCTACGCCCATCTTAAGGAAAGAAGAAAAGGCACAGGATAGAAGCTGCGATGGTCAGCCCAAGTCCAGAGTGGCCATTGACTCTTCCTCCAGCTCAAGTCAAAATTTGGGACTAGGTATAGTCATTAGATTAATTATGAATTCAATAAACGTTTTGTGAGGGTCAACTGAGGACCAGAAACTGCTGAAGTGATAAGGAAAAGCCACAGTTCTGTCCTCAAAGAGCTCACAGCTTCGTAAAATATCAATTGGTGAGAAGAGAGACCTATTCTAAAATCCCTTGTCTGAGCTGGCCTTTTTGTCCCATCTGACAGAGAACTGCCTCATTTCCATGGGAAAATTGAGTCACAAAAACGAACACTGTCTTGAGCAAGGGCACATAGGTAAAACAGGGGAAGGAAATCAAGATATCTGGAAGGGCTCTTGGTAGCTTAGTGGTTACGAATTGGGCTGCTAATCTCACTGTCAGCAGTTTGAAACTACTCGCTGTTCCACGGGAGAAAGATGAGGCTTTCTGCTCCCATAAGGATTTACAACCTCGGAAACCCTGTAAAGGGTCACTATGAGTCAGAACCTACTCCAAGGCACATAACAACAACATGTCTGGAGTACTGAGAGCCCTCTTCTGGATGAATGCAGAACTCAACCAACACAGTACTTCATCTCAGTATGCCACATGCTGTACAAAGTGTATTGACATTGTTACCCTCATAACAGCCCCCTAAGGCAGGCATGCCTGGGGTTAAAGGAGGAAATATGGCAGTATGTAGCAATATAAATGACACAGAAGTTGAAGTCAATTTTGCCACTTTGCTAGCTGCAGGGTCTTGGTCAAATTGCTTAACATCTCTTAGCCTCAGTTTCCCCAGCTGAAAAATGGGGATAATTGTTCTTCATAAAGTCGTTCTCCTTTAAACTCAGGCAGAAAAGTTATCTTGTGGAGAGTTCCAGCAGAGGCCCACCCAGTGTCAAGGATAGAATTGAGGAAGAAATTAAAATGCATTTTCCCCTTAAAGGCAAACATCTTCCTTCTGGGCATTGGTCAGGAAGCTGTTGCCCCAGGACTTGGAAATCCAGGAATTGGGTTTACAATATTCACCATGAACACTTTTCGGGAATTGGGACCCAAGCGTACCTCGGGGCCTAAATGGTTAAGGGGGCGGGGACACCCCAACACACACCATGATTGACGTGGGCACGCTGGGACTTGTAGGCTGGAAGACCATCGTGCGCGGGAGCTATTGGGTAGTGTAGTCACTGGTCCGGCCCAGGGCCGAGGTGTCCCAAGTCCAGCGGTGACAGCTCAGGAGGTAGGCAGCAATGGCAGGGACTGGGTGCAGGTACGGAGTAGGGGAGCCACGGCAGGACAGGGCAAGAGGGAGGAGGCAAGCTGAGAGCTGAAGGCCCGTGACCTGAACCCTTCAGAACTGGATCCCCCCACACATCCCTCGGCCTGAGGCTGATGCAATGGGGCCTGCGGGAAGCGGGGGTGAGGGGCAACCGGATGCCTTTCCCATCTCCAACGAAAAGGAATAGGATAGGACCCTCCCTTGTGAAGAAAAGGGCCTCTTCTTCCAACTGGATGGAGACCACTACCCAGAGAGGGCACATACTGCTTTCTGCAAAAGACAGGTAGACTCTCATCCCAGGCAATGGAAACAAGTCTTCCCAGGCCCGACAAGAAGGTTGAACCACACTCAGGGACTACTGGATACCCTTCCAGACAAAGGGCGGTCCAATAAATCACACATCCTACCAGGGCGAAAGGGACAGGACAACCTAGGGAAAATGAGAACTGGGCCTGTCCTCTACTTTCTCCTTCCACAAAGTCCCCTGCTTCTTGCCCCCAGGCCTTGGAGACAGCTCTATCGCCTGGGTAACTTGTTGACCAAAAAGGGTCCCTCATTTATCCTCCCCCAGGGTGCATCTGTCCAGCAGGGATCAGCATGGACCAGTCTGTGGCAATTCAGGAGACCTTGACTGAGGGGGAGTATTGTGTCATCATATCCTTCCCAGCACTGAAACCTCAGCTCTGGGGCCTTCCCTGGCCTTGGGAAGTGGAATAGAAGATCTTCAGTGTTTGTGGGTTCTTACTACGAGCACTCAGGAAGAAAAGGAAATCATTATTCGTTAAGCACCTACCCAGTCCTGGACTCTGCCATGTGATTTAAATACTCTTCCTACCCACCCACCCACCCCACCTCCATGAAGAAGGCTCAAAGAGGTCAAGTGACTTGCCCAAGGTCACACAGTGAATCTGGGGACCAGGAGAAGGCAGGGAATGTGGGGTGGGCAGGATTGGGAGAGCCCTAGCCTCTGGTTTCCATTTCCCTTGACCCTGAACAACAGGCGGTGCAAGGTGTGCTGTGTGAGGGAGACAGTCGACAGAGCCGTCTCCTGGGGCTTGTCCGCCACCGCCTGGAACCTGGTGACCAGGAACATGCGTAAGTAAGGGGTTCAAGTCTTGCCTGTCATGGGGTTATTCTACATTGTACCTTCCATCTGGTCTTTAACCATCCCTCTAGGGCATGGTCTGAGTCTTCCAAAGTAATTATTATAATGATAGTTAATACTTTTGGAAAACTTTAGTGTGTAGCAGCATTATCTAAGCCCTTCATGTGCATGAACTCATTTATTCCTTATAACTCCATGTGGGCACTCCTAGAGAAGAGGCAGTTTAACATACTGCTGCAGAGATGGAATTCTGCCAAACTCCCTGGGTTCAAATCCAGGCTTTGTTACTCCCAAGCCACATGATCTTGAACCAATTATTTTACTCTTCTGTACCTCAGTTTGTCAAGATTAAAGATTAAAGCGAACTTTGATTGTTGAGTGCCTTAGAGTCAGTTCTGAATCATAGTGACTCTGTGTAGGATTTCCGAGGAGTGACTAGTGAGCGTGAACAGCCAGCCTTGCGGTTCAAACTGACCTTGCAGTCCAGCACATTAACCCACAGTGCCACATATATACAACTAGGAAGTTGTTGTTGTTAAGCGCCATTGAGTCAGTTCCGACTCATAGCAACCCTGAATAGGGTTTTCCGAGACTTGTAAATCTTTATAGGAGTTGAAAGTCTCCTCTTTCTCCCTCAAAAAACAAAAAACAAACACACAGAAGAAAAACCCTACTGCCGATGAGTCAGTTCTAATTCATGGTGATCTCATGTGTTACAGAGGAGACCTGTTCCATAGGGTTTTCTTGGCTGTCACCTTTATGGAAGCAGTTCACCAGATCTTCCTTCCTGGATACCACCGAGTGGGTTCAAATAGCAACCTTCAGGCTAGTAGTTGAGCACAAGCTGCTTGTGACACCCAGGGACATACATAAGTGCTTAACTGAGCCAATGCTAATGCCAAGTTACACCCACATTTTACACAGAAGCTGAGAGAAAGAGAGAAATTGCATAGCTAGTAAGTGAGCCTCAGAGCTGGGAAGGAGGTACCTTAGACATTTTCTAATTGGGCTGCAAACTGCAAGGTCAGCAGTTCGAGACTACCAGCTGCTCTACGGGAGAAAGATGAGGTTTTCTGCTCCCATAAAGATTTACAGCCTTGGAAACCCTGTTCAGGGTCTCTGTGGGTCGGAACCGACTCAACAGCACTTAACAATGACGAGGACCCTTATTTTACAGATGGAGAAACTGAAGCCTAGGGAGGGGGAAGTGTTGGCTGAGTTTCTCTGTCTTTTTCACACACAGTGCTAGAATGTACAATGGATGGATCCAGCACATGTTTTACTGATAAAGCAGTAGATCCCCTAAATGAAAGAAGTTTAGCCTTGGTATCTTCATCTATGAAACTGGAGTTGCTGGTGGGTACTGGGAAAAGAGATACCAGGAAGAAGGATGCATCATAAGGGCCTAGTAGCAGTCCAAGGACTCAAGGAAGGAGCGTGACCACCCTGCGCAGAATCGGCCCAAGGGACAACCAGCAGCCCCGGTTCTCACCTCTGCTCTCTTCCCTTAGCCTTTTCCTATACATACACCGGAGAATGGCCATTACCGGGGACGATGTCTCTTTGGACCAGATTGTACCTATCTCGCGGGATTTTTCACTGGAGGAAGGTAACACAGGAGACAGGGTGGTAGTAATTCCTTCCCCCAAGCCTCTAAGTCATCTCTAACTTGTAGGGGGATATACACTGGGAGCAAGGATGGGGCTGGGGTGCTCATTTCTCTTTTCCCTCCCCACAGTGTCCCCAGATGGTGAACTCTACATCCTCGGTGAGTGGTCCTCTCAGTCTGCGTCCCAGTTGGGGTTGGGGTAGAGGATCTGCAGAGAAAAATGAATGATGTGTAGTAAGAGCACCCACTGTTCCAAGTAAGGCTCTGCGGGATCTGTTCCCTGTCCACCCTAGACCTTATTGTCAATCATGCTCCTCTTTGCTGGCTGCATTCAAGCCCCTCTGGATTGCTCCACATGTCACTCCCTCATCCCCAAAGATGGCATGTTCTCACCCTTGAGCCCTTGTACAGTCTTTCTTTCTTCCTGAAAGCCCCCATACCTCCTTACACTGGGCCAGCTCCTGCTCATCTTCAGGACTTCTAGTCACACATTATCTTATCCCAGGAAGCCTACAGTTGTTTGGATATCACAGATACATGTTCGTTTTGGAAGCTCTCTGCCAGGTATTTATTTGTGATAAACTATTTAATGTCTATCTTCTTTGCTAGATTCTAATATTAATAATAATAGTTTTTGTTGTTTAATGCCGTTGAGTCAGTTCTGACTCATAACGACCCTGTGTAGGGTCTCTGAGGCTATAATCGTGATTTTGGACCACAGGTTCTGTGGTTTGAGCCTGCCAGCCGCTCCATGGAAGGAAGATGAGACTTTCTGCTCACATAAACTTCAGAAACCCTATGTAGGGTCGCTATGAGTCAAAACTGACTCCATGACACTTAACAACAACCTCAATATCTTTGCAGAAGCAGAAAGCCTCATCTTTCTCCCATGGAGCAGCTGGTGGGCTCAAACTGCTGATCTTATGGTTTGTAGTCCAGTGTTTATCATACAGAGCCACCACACACCCCAATAATATTAATTGTTGTTGTTGTGGTTAAGTGCCAGTGAGCTGATTTCAACTCATAGGGTTTCCGAGGAGCGGCTGGTGAAACGCCAACCTTGTAGTTCAGACTGACCTTGCAGTCCAATTATCCCACAGCGCCACACCAGGACTCCAATAATATTGATAGAAGTGAATATTTAATCATTGATTATCTTGGGCTGAGGACAATGCTGAATGTTTTACATACATCTTACTTTGCTCTCTTCACAATTTTATGAGGTTATCACTGTTTTCACCCCATTTTGTGCACAAGCTAGCTGAGGCCCTGGAAAATTAAGCAATTTCTTAAGTGGTGGATTTTAGGTGAATAGTAGATGAATAGTTTAACAGAAACACAAATGGAGAGCTTTAACAAGCAGAAACTGGTTTTCTCACAGTGGAGGAGGCTAGAAGTCTGAACTCAGGATGCCAACTCTACCCTTTCTCTCAGCTCTGGAGGAAGGTCCTCCTCTCTTTTGAACAGCTGATCCTGGGCAGTCTTCATTTGGCTTAACAACTCTCTTCTCCCATCTCTGCTCCTCTTGCTTGCTGAAACATTTATATCACAAAGGAGATTGACTCAAGACACACCCTGTGCTAATAATTTCTCATTAACATAGCAAAGACAACCCATTCCCAAATGCGACTGTAACCTCAGGCTTTGAGGCGAGGATATACCACACATATTTTGGGGGGTACAATTTAATCTATAATTAAATTAAATTAAATTTAATTATAGATTTAATCTATAAGGAGCTCTGGTAGCATAGTGGTTATGAATCGGGCTGCAAACCTTAAGGTCAGCGGTTGGAAACTACCAGCCGCTCCGCGGGAGAAAGATGAGGCTTTCTACTCCCGTAAAGAATTACACCCTCAGAAACCCTGTTCGGGGTCGCTATGGGTCGGAACCGACTCGAGGGCACTTAACAACAACAACAACAATTTAATCTATAACATGGTGGAATCGGGATTCAAACTCAGAATCCAGACTATATATAGAGTTTATGCTCTTATTCACTCTGCTCAATTGCTTCTATTGCTTCTGCTCATTCAGTACATGATTTTGAGTGCCTGCCACATGCCAGGTCCTGGACATAAACGATGAACAAAGAGGCCTCCACAGTCCAATTCCCTGAAGATGGACCCACATCTTTTCTCATCACCATGGTCTCCCCCATGCCCAACACAGCCAGGTAGACTGACTAATGGACAGCCCTTTTGCCTGCCTCTCTATGCCTTTTGTTCCACTGGGCAGGAAATCGGCTACATGTCCGTAGACCCTGTCCTTTTTCAGGACCCTCTAGAACTGTTGAGGCAAGACTTACTGACTTTTCAGAACGTTGGTGTACCACCTCCATCTGTAAAGTGAGGATGATATTAATTTGGAGCGGAAGGTCCAAGATCCCCTTGTTACCTCAGTAGCAGCCCTGAGTGAGTTGGTTAAGGGGCAAAGAGGCTTTGGAAACCTTCACTGTCAGTGTTCTTCGTTCTGGGAACTCCAACCTAAGGTGAATCCAAGTGCTTGGCTCCTGCTAGTCAAGGGCTCATTTTATGTCTCCTCTGTGCAGGGTCAGATGTGACTGTCCAGATGGACACCGCAGAGCTCAGCCTCATATTTCAACTACCCTTTGGCTCGCATACAAGGATGTTCCTCCAGGAAGTTGCCAAGGCCTGTCCAGGTAGGTGAGACTTCCGGAACTCTTGGGAACATGGCTAGGCACTGAACTACCCACTCCAATTGACATTCTATCCTTTGGTTTCAACTCGGTGTTTCCTCTCAAAGCTGCTGACATGAGACCACAGTACCTCCAGGCCACAAGCCAACTATAGTGCTTGCTTTTCTCTTTACCTGTTTCTGGACTTGAGTTTTCCCCCCAAGCAGAGTCCCTCTGTCCTCCTAGCTCTGAGCTATGATTCTGGTGCAGAAATTTTTTCCAGATTGGAAGGGCCAGCAGTGATAAAAATGTTATGGGAGTGATATCTGACTTCCTTTAGCTTCACACGGAGTGAGATCAAGACCAACAACTCAAGTCTGATTCCTGTGAAGTGGAGGTCAGGTGTACCTCTTCTCTTCAACCTTTTTATCAATCCTGGCACCCCACCATGCCTCCCATGGCAATCCTCTACTTTTCTACTGAGTTCAATAATTCATTGCAATGGCCACACAGAACTGGCAGACAGTACTCACAGTTACAACGTATTTTAGGGAAGTAACTGGTCACTTTTCAGGATACAGTTCTTTGATCAAAAGAGCATCCTCTTGGCTGTGCTCAAAGGTACACCTCTCTCTGGCCCAACCTCTGGGCCCTCACCCTGGTGGACAGGTGTTACAAGGCTCTTTCAGCTCTGCTTTATTGTTAGCTTACGTCAAGTTGATTCCCACTTATAACAATAGAACAAAACACTGCCTGGTCCTATGCCATCCTCACAATCGTTAAGCTTGAGCGCATTGCTGCTGCTACCGTACCAGTACCAATCCATCTCACTGGGTGTCTTCCTCTTTTTTGCTGACCCTCCACTTTACCAAGCATGATGTCCTTTCCCAGGGACTGATCCCTCCTGATAATATATCCGAAGTATGAGAGATGAAATCTTGACATCCTGGCTTCTAAGGAACATTCTGGCTGTACTTCTTCCAACACAAATGATCAGTCACCCTGTTCACAGTAAGCCTGGCCTGAAGGCTCTCAGTAGTAGCTCTGTGAGTTGGCTAAACCTAGTTCTGACCTCCTGCCCCATTAAGTACCTGAAGGCAAAACCCACCCTCCTCAAGCCTCCTGCCTGAAGGCACGCAGCTTTCTGGCTCTTTGGACTCAGAAGCCCAGTGAGCTGCCTCCTGTTCCTGTTGGTCACCTGGTTTTCTGCGACCTCTGATGTCACCAGTTCTCTGCCAGCCCCTTCTTCCTGCCTTCTCCGGTGCCCCAGCTTGCTTTCTCTAGGATCGGGATGTTCACACTGGAATCTTGAGTCACGCTCTTTTCTTTTTATTTTTCCAAATGTTTTTATTTTTTGCAATTTTGGAGCGTGAGTAAGAGTTTGGAGTTAGGGTTAGGACTATGGCTTTGATGCCTGACACTAGGTTGTTAGGTTGGTGATTGCAGGACTGGCCATGCCCCAGGCTACTAGGAGGGTACCAGAACAAAGGAGAACTCAGTCTATCTTGACTCCAACCTCTAGCTGTGTCCTGTGCCTGCAGGCTGCTTACAAAAGCACAATCAAGATGGCCACACTGCTCTATGCCAGCTGATAGCCTGCATGTTTTTTTTTTCTCTCGCTGCTCTGCACAGCATCCTCTTCCAGTCATCACTCCAGTCTACCTTTCTGTCCTAATACCTGAAGATCAGGGTTCCAGGATTACCTTCTGCATCTGCTTCACTTGGCTTCCCATATCTTTGTTACAATGGGTCTGCACATTTCGTCTTGCCCATCTTGCCCCACACTGGCTTTTCTTTCTTGATAGTAGTGAGATTCCCCTCTGCCTCTGGATGGCTTATTTTAAGCCTAACGGAATGGCAAAGCTAACCAGTCCTCTCTCTTTAGGGTTCCGTACACCTTATTGGCATGGTGCCACTCTGTGGAGTCCTGGTGTGGCGCTGCACCCACCAGCTGGTCCTCAGAAACCCTAGACAGGGTCGCTGTGAATCAGAACTGACTCGATAGCACTTAACAACTCTACAAGGGTGACATGGCCTTCTTCGCTTATTAGCAAGCAAGCCAATTCATTTGGTGGGCCACAAGCACCTGACATTTGCAAAATCCTACCCAGTCACTTTGTGGCAGTCACTAAGACTCCAGCTAGAAGAGCTGAGACATAAAAAGCATTGCAGTAACTCTAGAGCTTTGTTGTCCCTCTGTTTGCCAACCACAGTGAAAACCAAGGAAGGCTGCCTTGTGGGCCTTCTTGCCCTTGATACCTCACTTGTATCCCCCACCACAACTGAGAAAATTAGGGAGAGGTTAGTGGCATCTAGGGCAGAATTTGCTTAGATTTGGAGATCATTCAGACAGATAAAGGAGAGTTTGTACAGAGCCACATCCCATGTAAATCCCAGCCACTAGGCACTGGGTTTGGATGTTTATCCAACACTATTCACTGTTCTCTTTCAAGCTAAGATCTTGTCTCTGCAGGAATGCAGGGTGGAGCTCACTTTCTATCATGGTCTCACTATCGGAGCCTCCTGGGGCTCCAATTTGTGGTCTTGCCACAGAGCCTCTGGGGACTTTGGATGCAAAGGAAGTAGAAAGAAATTTATAATGCCTTGAATGCCTGGTTGTTGTTGTTAAGTACCATGAAGTCAATTCCAACTCATAGTGACCCTGCACAGGGTTTCCGAGGCTGCACATCTTTATGGGAGCAGAAAGCCTCATCTTTCTCCTGTGGAGCAACCAGTAGTTTCGAACTGCAGACCTTGAGGTTAGCAGCCCGATTTGTAACCACTACGCTACCAATGCCTGGTTAAGGAGCATAAAATCTATTTCATAACCTGAGATACATTTATCCCCTTATTTTATGATTATTATGCACTGTTGTTGTGCGCCAACTCGTAGAGAACCTGTATAGGGTTTCTGAAGCTGTAAATCTCTACCAGAGCAGAAAGTCTCATCTAGCTCCTACAGAGCAGCTTGTGGGCTCCAACCGCCAACCATGTGGTTAACAGCAAACATATATCCCATTACTCTACCAGGGCTCCAACACTCGTCAAAGGGGTAATAATAGTAATACTAGCTTTGAAGCTGCACAGACCTTTAAATTTTAAATCCATCTCTGTTGGCCTTTAGCTGTGTAACTACGCAAGCCATCTCATCTCTCTGAATCTTAGTTTTTATATACTTCTATAAGTAAAGGAGCTCTGGTAGCGTAGTGGTTACAAATCAGGCTGCGAACTGCAAGGTCAGCAGTTCGAAACTAGCAGCTGTTCTGTGGGAGAAGGTTGAGGCTTTCTGTTCCTGCAAAGATTTACAGCCTCAGAAATCCTATGCAGGGTCGCTGTGAGTTGGAACCGACTCCACGGCACATAACCACCACCACCATAGGTAAAGGCAGAGTCCGGGTGTGGGGCTGCAGGTTAATGCGCTGGATTGCAAGGTTGGTTTGAACCACAAGGTTGGCAGTTCAGGCTTACCAGCTGCTCCTAAGAAACCCTATGCAGGGTCGCTAGGAGTCAGAACTGATTCAACAGCCCTTAACAATAACAACAACCTAAGTAAAGGCAGGGTCCTGATGTGGCACTGTAGGATAAGCACTGGATCTATAAGAATATATAGCAGTGGTTCAAGTATGAAAGGATAAGGCTTGGACCAGAGCATCAGGGATGGAGATAGGAAAGAGGAGATGAAGCCCAAGGAGAGCAAACTGATGAGAATGAAGTTGCGATGAGGACAGTGAGTTTGAGTTGTGTTCACAACGTTATTGGCAGTGGTCAGAACAGTGTCTGGTATGTAGTAGGCCCTTAGTGTTTGCTGAATGGATAAATAAAGCTTAGTACTGGTAATGTGAGCGTGAAAGGGAGAGAAGTGTTGAGGATGGCTTCCCTGTTTTGGGTTTCGGTGACTCCTTTGTAGACTCCTTAGTCTGCTCTCCACTGTGGGGCCCACAACCAGGGTACCAGCAGGGAAACTCTGTACTAACTCACCTTCTCTGAGAGTTTCCCCAGGGAGGGACCTGGCTGAGAGGAGACTCTCAGAGCCAACAAACCCTTGGATATCCAGCAGCCCAACCCTTGTATTTCACAGAGCAAGAGACTGAGGCACACAGAGTCTAAGAGACCGCAATTAGAGAAAGGACTTGGCTAACATTAATTAACTTAACTATGTGCCAGACGGAGTACGGGTGTGGCGCTGTGGATTAATGCACTGGACTACAAGGTTGGTTTGATGCACAAGGTCGACAGTTCAAGTTCACCAGCTGCTTGGAAACCCTATACAGGGTTGCTATGGGTGAGAACTGACTTGACGGCACTTAGCAACAACAATGTACCAGACATTTTCCTAATCATCCCACAACAGTGTTTTAACCAATATTAAAGAGTTATTGCTGTTTTTAAGTACTGTTGAATTGGTTCTGACTCACAGTGACCCTGCCTAGGGTTTCTGAGGAGCAACTGGTGGATTTGAAACGGCCTTGTGGTTAATAGCCCAATGCCCATCATACAGTGCCACACTGGGACTCCAAATTAAAGAGGATCCTATCTTATAAGGAGCCCTGGTGGCACTGGACCGTGGACCCTAAGGTTGGCAATACAGAGAAAGATGAGGTTTTTCTGTGCTGTAAAGATTTACAGGCTCGGGAAACCTTTTCAGGGATTCTGTAAATCAGAATTAACTCAATGGGAGTGGGCCTAGAGTTTGGGTTTTGATATCCTGCTTTATAATTGAGTAAACTGACAGAGCTTAAGTAACTTACCCAAAGGCATTCAGCTATTGAAGTAATAGGTCTTAGGTTAGAACCACAGGTGGTCTGACTCCAAAGCTTACAGAATCCAAAAATCAGCCAGATCCTAGCTCTACCACTTCCTGACTGTAAATGTGGGCAATGGATTTGGCTTTCTAATTTGTAGAATGGAAATATGAACTTACCCTACCTTTGCTCCAATGGTCTTATGAGGATTAGACAAGACCAAGTATGGGTTGTGTTTGTTAGTTGTTGTTAACTATCCAATGAGAAACCTGACCAATGGGG